GCCCTCCAGGACCGAGTTTGGACACCCCTGCACTAACCGAAAGTATTGCATCTTGTGGCGGAAAGTTATTACTTTTCTAAATGCATAAAATAGGCACAAAAAAAATCCCCTATCTTGTGACCAGAACATTAATGGGATCTGAAGCTCTCCATTTTCCAAGCTGAATATCTCTCTTCCAGCATCATGTACTGTCTGAATGGGGAACCGTGGTGATTTTGTTGTATTATGCAACCTGTATTACAGATTTTGGTTGCATGCGACTACATTTCTGTACGTCTGTTATGTCATTTTCATTACATTCTCCCTCTCTAAACACTTTGTACTCACGTTATCCTAACCCAAAGACAGCCTCCCGACTCATTCTGCATTCCTACTAGGACAAAGTGGAACTTATCTCTAAATGTCCTGCTGTTTGATCACATTCTGTCGAGTGGCATGAGTTCTAATCAAATAATCTTCCTGTGTACATCTTCTAGCATGACCCACCTCCTAAAAATCCCACCTCATGCACACACACAGCTCTCTGCCCTGTACACTCACCTGCACTCTCTGCATGCACTGCACGCTCCGACCGGCCACCACTTTGAAGTGGACAGATGTAAAGAGAAATCACCGATCGAACCATCAGATGACCCTAATACAGCAAGAAATCTGATTTAATTCACATAATCACATATCAAGTAATAAGAAATCATATGTGTAATATAATTATATATACATATAAAAGGATTGGCTAAATGGTAAAGGCTATATGTACCTCTTGGGAACTGATAATAGCCCACTTCAAAACTCTTCAGATTGATTTGTGCACATAGGATACAGCACTTCCTCTTCTAGATGATAGTTTACATCATTCATTGAACCACACATGTGCTGTTCGCTTTGAACTACAAGCATTTAAGTGATTCTGAATATGCATGAATATGAGCAACAGTACAACACTCCTTTGCCTGCCTTATTCTTACTTCTTATGAGTTTGTTTCTGAGAATTCTGATTGTGACTGCACTCATTTTGTTTGCATCTTGGGTTCTTTAGAGTATGCTTTTGGGTTCAGTGGTGCTTTTTAAACCTTCAAGTTCACAGTCATTCATGCACAAGTGCTGTTTTATAACATTCAGCATGATTAATGGTGAAGGGGTGGGGGGAAGCACTGAATTTAATCTGTTCAGTTTTTCAAAAGCTGAAGACTTGATTAGAATAGGGCTTTGTTCAAGCTTATTTCAGGTAACCAGATTTGTATTAAGTCGTTACAGGCTAAGCTGTAAATGTAGGGCATATTAAGTGTTTGTTTTATTAATTATGCAATTTCCTAATGCATGATTTGTTTTTTTCAGATGGTCATACTTGTGGCTCTTGAATTAATTTTTGTCTGACTAACCTTGGTTTTAAGTGAGGGTGTGATTGTATAAATGTTGGTATCAGTTGTGTGTGTGTGTGTGTGTGTGTGAATATGCGTGTTGTGGGTTTACTTGCGTATGGCTGTTACTGTATTGTCTACACATGCTGGTCTCTTGCATGCGTTTGTTTGTCTGTCTGTGTTTTGCTGGAGAATGCTGTGTTTTTGTGCTTTGCAGCAATGGTATACAGCCACTATGAATCTGCTGGCGACCTGGCTGACTGAACGCATGGACCAACAGCTTCATGTCTATCAACTCAAAATCCTCATCAGGATTGTAAAGGTATTTCTTTCTAACTTACATGGAAGTGCTTATGCTCTGAAGCTGTAGTGGTATGATTGTAGTCTAGGTAAAACCACACTGTTTTGTTCTAGATTCCAGTCTATGATTTAGACTTTGCTTAGGAATGCACAAAATGAGTTTCTTTTAATTTATCAGTATTGGTCTGTTGGGTATTTACTGTTATATATATATTAGATATGAAATTATGCATGCTCATTTCCCTTATTCTAACATGTAGAATATATTTCATTTATATTTATGTCATCTAACACTCGCTTTAAGTTTGTAATAATTTAATAACACTGCAAATCTCAACATGAAAATACATTTATACATTCATACTGTACATTATAATGTTGTGCTTACTAAATTCACTTGCAATATTTAAAATTAAATTACACTGGTTGCCAAAAGTTTAGAATAATTAAGTTTTTATGTTTTTGAAAGACGTCTCTTATGCTGCATTACAGCATACAGTAAAATTTAAAGGGGTCATATGATGTTGCTAAAAAGAACATTATGTGGTGTATTTGGTGTAATGAAATGTGTTTATGCAGTTTAAGGTTCAAAAAACATTATTTTCCACATACTGTACATTATTGTTTCTTCTCTATGCCCCGCCTTTCTGTAACGCGTCGATTTTTACAAAGCTCATCGGTCTGAAAAGCGAGGTGTGCTCTGATTGGCCAGCTATCCAGTGCGTTGTGATTGGCTGAATACCTCAAACGTATGACGGAAGTACACCCCTTACCATACTGTGATGCCCTGTCTGGCCGGAGAGACGAGACAAAAACATTTAAACCCATTATAAACGAGGCATTTGTTGTGACAGAATTCAAATTGTTTTGGGGGAACTATGAAATTAATGAGAAAATACAGCGGTATGTTCTTATTTTTTACCAGCTTCTGTAAGCGTCTGGCTTTTGGAACCTCACTGTGACTTCAGGTAAGATTTAATTAACGTTATTTGTCTGTGCCAGTCGTGTTTTTGACACATGCATTGGCAGAAAAAAAAAAATAAAATAAAATTAGACATTATAACATTAAAAAAAAAAACATTCTTTTACTTGCTGAATAGGTAGGCGTGGTTGACTCTTAACTTTTATAAAGAATATCTCTTTGGATTTGAAACTTTAGTCTTTGCAACTTTACAGATCTTCTTTATGCACCAAGACCTTGTAACACTTCAAAGAGAAAGGAAAAATTGAAATCGCATCATATGACCCCTTTAAAATAACTGTTTTCTATTTAAACATATTTTGAAATGTAATTTATTCTAGTGATAGCAAAGCAGCCAATAATATGCTGATTTGGTGCTCAAGAAACTTTTCTTATTTTTATCAATGTTGAAAACAGTTTTGCTGCTTAATATTTTTATGGAAACCGTGCTATGCTAACATTTAAAAGTTTGGTTTATGTATTATTTTTAAAAAAGAAAAGAAATTAATAATGTTAAGAAAAGAAAGACATTTATAATGTTACAAAAAACTAGACTAATGGCTGTTGAAAATTCAGCTTTGCCATCGTAAGAATTACATTTTAAAATCTATTCAAATAGAATACATTTATTTGAAATTTCACAATATTACTGTTTTTACATAATCAAATAAATGCAGCCTTGGTGAGCATAAGAGACATTAAAAATCTTAATTATTCCAAACTTTTGGCTGCCACTGTAATTAATTGGGACAAAATAGTATATCAGCTATTTATCAGTATACTGTCCAGAATTGTAATAGCTTGCATCCATAGTCTTGCTATTCTTTCTGGCCTTGTTTGACATACAGGTATTTAGCTTTAACATTCAGGGGCAAAGAAGTCTGATAGTGTGTATAATGTCTGCTGATATCTCCCATTCTTGTAGAAGAAATACCGAGATTTTAGGCTGCAAGGCGTTCTTGACTCTACACTGAACAGCAAGGCGTACGACACGGTACGGAACCGGCTGACACTGGAGGAAGCCACTGCCTCTGTTAGAGAGGGGGGCATGCAGGGCATCTCGATGAAGGACAGCGATGAGGAAGACGAGGAGGACGATTAGAGCATCGAGCCATCCGGTGCCACCCACCACCCTGAACCCGACCCGTCTATCCAACCCTACCCTACCCCAACACTTTAAACTTAGCCTGATAACGTAAGATGCATGTATCAACTCTGATTACCCAGTTAGCCACTCTAGGATCTCCCCCCATCAGCTCGAATTGCCCACAAACGAAGCTAAAAAACAATAAAAATCAAAGAATTGTACTAAAGAGTAAAAACAACGTTGCAAAGACCATAATTGGCAATTTAAGCTGTGTCATAACATAATAAAGAACAACAAACTAGCACCAATTTTTCAACTCGTTTATTTGAGGAATTTGTTTCTATGTGTTCCTAAGCAATATGGAGTACCATTTGTTTGATAATGTCGAGTGAGATTATTAGGTGTGTCCCTGTCCAATGCGATAACATATATGGCGCTTCTTTGACGTACTCTTACATACATTAATGGTACATTGTTGTGAAGATGAGTGTATGGACCCTTTTCTTTGTCTTGTCTGTTTTTAAAGTGGATGCCAACTGCTTCAAAACTAAAAATGAACCTCTATTTAAGTTCAAAACTGTTAACTGTAAATGTCTTCTGTGTCTGCACATTTCCATTGTACTTTTTTCCTTATTTGTGTCGTGGCTCTGTGGCCCTATGTCGCAAATATCCAACTAGGCATTGTCTCACAGGCATCTTAAAATGAAAATGAATTGGTATTCTAGAAATGCAATATTGCCATACCTCCATTTTGATGTCTCATTGGAGACGTCTTTTAATTAGATGTCAGAAATGACAACAAAAAACGGCTATATTTTTGGTTCAGTTTCACTTTTACAGAGGATCTCTATCTCTCTTTTTTAAGTTTGTATGTCCAATTAAAGTCATTCTCTTTATGTTAGTAGACCTGTTGAAACTGCTATGTGCCATTTTTGGGGTCTCACTATTGTTTTTGTATATATCATGCTGTACATTGCATTCTGAGCCATTGCTGCATGCCTGTGGGATCCACCTTCTCCAAAAGCTTTTTTTTGTTTTTCTGTGTCAATTAGCTGGTGGATTCATTCTTGCGTTTGCCTTATCAAAGCCAACAGTTGTAATATGCAAGAGCTGTGGCCTCTCAATAAAGATAACATGATGTACTAATATAGGCTGCCTGTAGATTTTGTTTCTTTGTCTTTATTCAGAATGTGGATTCAGTGACCCCCATCATTAAAAAAAATTCTAATTTACTAGTTTCATTGGAGTTGCATAATTTTAGTCCTTTCGTAATGGACTTTTATTTTGACGTATATCATCATGACGTTTAACCTAGTTGGCTTCACGTTCGCGCAGATAAAGTAACTTCATATCACGTAATAAAAAGCACAATAGTCTCTTACTCTTAATTTATCTGATTTCGCTCAATTAAAATGCCTGTCCCACCTGGATCCATAATCGTGTCGGATTGGCATCGCTGTCCAGACAGCAGGGAGTTTTTCAGCAGGATACTGCATAAGAAGAAACGGCGAAAGTTTGGTAAGGATGATCACCATGGATACAGCAGTTAGGCATCATGTTTCTTATCTGACTGGTCAGGTATTTCTTGTTTTGTTTAATAAAAGAACAGCAAAAATAAGTTTGTTACAGCCAACATATAAAATGCTAAGTGAATTTTTATATAACTAAGTGGTTTTTATATAACTTACTGTGAAGGGCTCTTGGAAGCGCCAATGATGCCTCCTCATATGAATGTGGATATCGTTCGCTACAAGGTATTCCTCTCTGGGAAAACCGGAGTCGGGAAAAGCGCTCTTGCTGCCCGTCTCGCTGGCCTCGATCTCCCCAAAATGCACTATGAGACCACAGGTAAACAAGTCACACATTTAAAATGAATTAAGTACATTTTTATTGTAAAAAGATTTTTTCTTGAACACATTTATAGTACGTTTAATGAATACGTTTGAAAAACATTTGAGAGATTAAGACATCAGTTATGTCAGTGACCAATAAAAATAAGCGATTCTATTCAACATGGGGCGGGTCGCCCTCTCATGGCGGCCTTGAGATAACTTGGCCAGCCACATAAAACTATTATAATACACATTTAGTTGTAGAATAATAGTTATTAATAATGGACGACGACAAATATTTTACTAATACGTTATTTGAATGTGTACAATAGCATTAGTAACAGCTTTGAAGTTTGCTTCATTACATCCACACCGATAGGTGTCAGTATACGCATCATTCATGTCACTGTATTAATTTAATACAATCAATTTTAAAAAAAAAACACACACATCAGTGGTCATTGCTTCATAGAGCTGTGATTCTTGTAGGCATAGAGACAACAGTGGTCTTCTGGCCTGTAAGACTAAAGGAGAGTGGCCGTGTGTTGTTTTTCCGCTTTGAGCTTTGGGATTGTGGGGAAAGTGCAATACGAAGATTTGACCACATGTTACCGGTGAGCATTTTCATCATATTACAGAGTTACTTACATTCCCAGGGATAGTTCACCCCCAAAAAACATCATTTACTCGCCCTCATGTTGTTCCAAACCTGTATGAATTCCTTTCTTCTGTGGAACATAAAACCAGATATTTTGAAGAAAGTTGGTAACCAAACAGTTGCTGGTCCCCATTGACTTCCATAGTATGGACCAAAAATACTATTGAAGTCAATGGGGACTAGCAGCACTTTGGTTACCATCATTCTTTAAAATATCTTCTTTCGTCTTTTCTTTTCTTTCACAGAATAAAGAAACTCATATAGGTTTGGAACAACTTGAGAATGAGTAAATTTTCATTTCTGTGTGAACTGTCCCTTTAACCCACAAATTCTGTTTCACTGTATCATTTTAAAGTATGATATTTAATGGTGTCATTTTTCTCTCTTTAGTCCTGTAAGGAACAGGTGGATGCCATCCTTTTCCTTTTCTCCTTCACTGATCGTGGCTCCTTTGATGATCTTTCAAATCAGGTATCACGGATCACGGAACCTTCGGATCGAGTGGTTAACTTGGTCGTTGGCACCAAGTATCCTTTACCAGTTGAGAGCATTTATTTGACAATTACATTCAAATGCATGTGTTATTATGTGTTACTTGAAATAAAATAAATATTAACTGAAATAAAATATCAAAATCTTAAACTTATTTTACTTAGTTTAATTTGATGTACTAAATTAACTAAAACTGAAATAAAATGAATGAAAACTATATAGATAGGCCTATATTTAAAAACAAAAAATAATAAAACTGACAAAAATGAAAATGGAAAAAATAAATATTTAACATTCAAAATATTATACTAAAATTACGCTGATGTAACACTGATGTGACATTGTCATGGCCCTTAACAGTGCAGATTTGACTTATTTATGCACACAGATGTGACAGAGAGTGACGTGACACATTTTCAAGAGGTTTGGGGTCTTCCGGTCTTCCGAGTGGGAGGTGATGTGAGTGCGGGGCTTGGTGAAGTAGCACCCTTACTAAATGCCCTTGCAGAAAACCTGTGGCACCAAGACTGTATGGCTGCTTCATCTGTGTCCATCTCCACACAGGCTGCTCTCAGAGGAACAGACTCAGAGATCATTGTATAACTTGTACGTGCGTTGTGGTTCAATCTCACAAGGATTGGTCATTCATGGATGGAATATGCTGCTATGGAAACACTCTAAATACCACTTACTATTTTTTGCTTTCTAAATGTCTGTGAGTCAAGAAATGGTAAACAAAAATATTAAAATGTCATGAAATGAGTTTGTTTGTAGTTTCAAGGCAGTTGACACAAAAAAAAAACATTATGTGCATATATTCATGAACCTCATTATATATTGAAGTAAAAAAAAAAATTTAACATTTGTTTTTGTTTAATAACCCAATTGATTTAGTACAATAAAGAAGGAAACAGATTCAAGTTTCTAAAATGCTTAAAAATACATCCAAGCATTAGATTTTCACTTCTTTGAATGAATCCATGATTGGCAAGCATTTTGCTGTATGCTTTTGGGCTTTAATGGTCAACAAACCACCTTTCTCTAGAGAAGATGTGACTGACATTGGATCCACATCAGCTGGGAACTGACACTTCTGACGAACAGCGTCCACGATCTGATGCCAACTGATTCATCGGTGAAGAAAAATGGAAATTAGAATACAACAATGAGCAAGATATTGTGCAAAAACACAAATAAATAAATCTAATATTACATGCTCTTAATTTTTAAAAGAAAATGTGTTTGAGAGAAAACGTGCTGTTAAAATTGCCATTAGAGTTTATTTTGCTTACCTTTTCTGCACAGACTTGTATTGAATTATTGGTGGAGGTTACAATAACTTCTGGTGCAAACTCGCTTACATTCACTGTGAATATATACATATCTCCAACAGTCCACATTTCCCCCTTTGAAAAACAGATGTTCATTGTTAGTTCCTTATTGAGTTCAAATTAATCATATGTTTATTGTGTTAGACCAAATTAAAAGTCTACAACAGTACAGAACTCACCTTTGAATCAATGCTTGCCACTGATGATTTGTATGGTTGGAAAGGAAACATAGATAAGTGCACTTTAATCCAGCTCTTTAATTCACTGAAAAAGATTTTGTAATTGGTGAGCATTTGATGCTCATTTTCTCAGTGTAATTGTTTAGACCAATGCAATGCTTACTTTTATACCAGTGGCTGCTTCTGGGGTTTTGGGTGAGGCTAGTATGACGTCAATGTATCATATATGAGAGAACAGATTCATCTTGTAGGGTGTTAATAACGTCCTCTGTCTGTTAAGGAATACCCTCTGTAGAAGTCTTCAACAAAACTTATGATGGAAAACTAAATGTACTATTGATTGATTACAAATGTAAGATTTGATCATGGTTGAAAATATGAGACTCACCCTAGCAACAAATACAGATAAACACAACAGCAGCTAGAGAGCTGATGTGAAATTCCTGATCCTCATTACAGCTGTCAAATCAAAACTGAATAACCAGATGTTCCGTCATTTTTAGTGTACGTCATGGAAGGTTAATTTTAAGCGTGTACAATAAATCAGACCCTTAAATAAATCTTCCTCTTGCTTTGACTTTCAGCTCAAGTTGACATGGGACTTTTATTCTGAAACGTCCGTAGGTGGGGTGGCCATTTTGTTTCCGCTTTACTACCTCTAGCTTCATGTCGTCTTTCGTAATCCGGTTCATTGACGAATTTTGTCGGCGGGCTTTTTTAACGTGACCGAAATGTACATCTGAAACGATTTTCACTTAAAAAAAATATATTATTAAACATTCGCTACACACAGCACTGATAACTCAGATTCCAATCTACTCGCTGTTTTTAACTAAACGATCCTCAAGCGCCTGGCCAGGCATAAAGGCCACAATGAAGCTCACAGACAATGTGCTGCGGAGTTTTAGGGTTGCGAAGGTTTTCCGAGAGAATTCGGACAAAATCAACTGCTTTGACTTCAGTTCAAATGGCGAAACTGTAATATCGAGTAGCGATGACGATTCGATTGTCTTGTACGACTGCCAGGAGGGAAAGTAAGTCGCATATAAATTCCTAATTGTGATTTTTCCTACAACTGGCTGGTGTTGTTCCGTGTCGATTTGGTCTTAACGGGCTTTAAAACATTGATTTTGGTTACAGGAGCATTACTGTGAGAGATGTGAAAGGTTAAGATTACCCCAGTAATAAGAAATGAGATTTATGAGTTTTGCTGTTCATAGAGAGTATTGCAGTTTGAACATGTTTATGTACAGTAGCGATTTCCGATTCGTTTAAGTTGAATCTTTTTAGTGAATCAGTTGAGCCGGTTCACTGACTCACTGAAACCAGTGTCTTTGTTTTATGCGCTCGATCATGGCGGCAACTAAATAAACTGTAACACATGAATTTTTAATAATCACCGTTTAATAACCGGTATGGCATTATAGTAATATGCCTCGCTAGGATGTCAAGGACCACGAAATGACGTAAAAGATCCGCCGAATCTTTAACCGGATCTTTGAAACAAATATTTCGAAGGAACCGATTCGCGGAAATGAGTCGAATGGACAGTCTGAATGAGAGGTCGCGTGCTAACCGTTAGCATCCACGCCTCCTTCCGACCCCGCCTTGTGACCTTACTGTAAAGTCTAGTATTTTATTTTTAATGTTAAGTGTTTCATAATACACACAGAATTGCGCGTATATAAATAAACGATCAGATTAACTTACTTATTTCCGATTCTGTCCTTTATATCAGACCCAAACGGACGCTTTACAGTAAGAAGTATGGTGTGGATCTCATCAGATACACCCATGCAGCCAACACTGTCGTCTACAGCTCCAACAAGATTGATGGTAGGACTCTTTATAAAGTCTTATGATATTGTGTTGCATTGCAGCTCCTATGCCGTTCAGTTTTGCCATACTATGGATAAAATGTTAATTGAACCTTTTTTTGTTACGTTATGTTTTTTTCTTGTCGGTAAAAAACAGTCAATGACAGTATTTTCCTGCAGTGTGATGTGCTTTATTTGACATAAAAGTATACAATTTTTTAAATAACATTTTCTATATATTTTAAATTATGTGCAATTTTATGACTTCATATTAAATGAGATTAAATGCATAATTGTTATTCTTATTTATGTATTTAGGTGTTTATTACTTATAATCATTTGTTTTGTTTATTTTTATGTTTATGTTGATTAAGTGATTTTCTCAAAGCTATGCTGCTGATGTTCGTGTATACCTGTGCCTGCTCTGGGTTGAGGTAGTTATTTGTACAGTTTTTACGGTCTGTTATTCTGCCCTGTTAAGGAGCTAACTGTACAGACTACTGCCTTGCCCAGGGTTGAGCCTGTTCATCTGACACAGTATACAGTACATTTGATCAATTCACGTGTAAAATCTTGTAGCTTTCCTTTGAGATGATATTGATATTTTCTTCTCACTACCAATGTGGTACTACAGATACTATTCGATACCTGTCCCTACATGACAATAAGTACATTCGATACTTTCCTGGACACAATAAGAGGTGAGGGTTTGTGACATTAAATTTTCTTTTCTTGTTTATTGGCGTTTGAGTTATAGCACTTGTGTTTGTGTATTTTATCCTGTTTCAGGGTTGTTGCTCTGTCTATGTCTCCTGTTGATGACACATTCATTTCTGGCTCACTTGATAAAACTATTCGTCTGTGGGACCTTCGCTCACCTAACTGTCAGGTAAGCAGTTTTTTTTTATTTTGGGTTAGTGTGTGTTTTTCTTGTTAGTCTATACTAGATTTTAATCTTGGTTGTGTTCACAGGGCCTCATGCACCTGCAAGGGAAGCCTGTGTGTTCATTTGATCCGGAGGGGTTGATTTTTGCTGCAGGAGTGAATTCTGAGATGGTCAAACTTTACGATCTACGCTCCTTTGATAAGGTAATTGTATTAAACTGCATCCTAGAAGCAGTAGTGATATCTGTCTTTTAAATGGTAAAAATGTATACATTTGTGTCACACCTCCTGCCTCAGGGTCCATTCGCCACGTTTAAACTACAATATGAGCGAACATGTGAGTGGACGGGCCTCAAGTTCAGCAACGACGGAAAGCTCATTCTGGTCTCCACCAATGGTGGAACACTCAGAGTACTGGATGCTTTCAAAGGAGCAGTGCTCCACTCATTTGGGGTGAGAAATTAGTGTCATTTTGAATAGGCTTTTGTCAAAGTTTGTGTTTAAGATTAAGTGTGTGTCTCATGGAGTCTTTCGTCCTCACTGCAGGGCTATAATAACAGTAAAGGTGTCATTCTGGAGGCCTCTTTCACGCCAGACTCTCAGTTCGTCATGATCGGTAAGTCTTCACCAATAGATTCAGAAAGGACTAGGGATAAGTTCACAGAGAGTGATGCCTGTCGTCTCAACATTTTGCTTTCCAGGATCAGAAGATGGAAAGATCCATGTGTGGAATGCTGAGAGTGGAATGAAAGTAGCACTTCTTGATGGGAAGCACACTGGTCCAGTCACCTGTCTACAGTTTAACCCCAAATTCATGACCTTTGCCAGTGCCTGTTCTAACATGGTAAGAGTTAACCATAAAGTAGAAATAAATCTGATATATTTGTTATAGGTCAGTCCAGATGGAATATGTGCACTCCAAACGCCCTCCCAACACTGGTGAAACATATGGCGCTTTTCCACTGCGTGGTACGACACGGCTCGGCTCGGTTTGCGTTTCCACTGCAGTTTAGTATCGCTTTAGAGTTCGCCTCTACTGCAGCAACTCAACGAGAGGAACGTCTGTACTTCCTCAACAGACAACGAAACAGACACTTTTTGGTGGTTAAAAAAAGGTGCGCTCGTTCAAAACAGTTGCGTTCGATCCTTCGCTGGCTGTGCTGATTTAAATCTAGCGGTTCTGTTGTGTTTGTCACAAGTTCAGTGACGCAGGTAGTGACGATTCTCTCCGGCCAATCCGTGATCAGCAGAGTTTACACGTCACGTTTTGGTAACGGTACGGTTCACTTGGAACCTCAACCGAGGTGGTACTAAAAAAAGTACCAGGTACTGTACCCAGTGGAAAACCCCCCAAAAGTGAACCGTTCCGAGCCGTACCATGCAGTGGAAAAGCGCCAATATACTATACTTATATTTTTGTAGTTTTTATTTATTGTTTGGATTTATGGAGGATTTGCTGAAAATTTACTCAAACTCATCTACATCTTGGATGACCTGAGGGTGTTTCTTCATCTGAACAGATTTATTTGCTCACCAATTGATCCTCTGCGGTGAATGGTTGCCATCAGAATGAGCGTTCAAACAGCTGATAAAAACATCAAAATAATCTAAAAGTAATGATTCTAGTCCATTGATTAATGTCTTGTAAAGTGAAAAACTGCTCGTTTGTAAGAAACAAACCAATAAAGGCATTTTCACTGTAACCTTCTGGTCAAATAGTCTATAATCCATAATAACGCTTCCTCCAGTGGAAAAGGTCCCACTCCCTTTTGTCCTTTCACATCACAATCCACTGACACATTTTCACCCATTCACTGCAGAGGATCCAGTGGTGAGCTAATGATATAATGTTTAAGTTCTCCAAATCTGTTCAGAAGAAGAAACAAACTCATCTGCATTTTGGATGGCCTAAAGTAGAGTAAATTTTCATTTTTGGGTGAACCATTCCTTAAAAGGAGGAATGGGTGCTCAGAGCAATTAAAAACTTGCCATATTCCCCTGCAGGCCCGATTATGGTGGTATAAATACTAGGGCTGCATGATTAATCGAAATTCAATCGCAATTGTGATTAGGCAAAAGGTAGGGCTGCACGATAAATTGCATGCGGTAGTCATGCGCATCTTGTCAGTAAAGCCGGTTCTGTAATCAGTAGTAAATCTCCAGCACGTGCTTTCAGATGGAGCAGCATTTACTACACAGAGCCGTAGTTTACTGACAAGCTATGCAAAAAAATCGCAGACGATATAATTGATATTATACATTGATATTATAAAATATTGCGTAGATTCTCAGTGAACTACGGCTCTGTATAGTAAGTGCTGCTCCTTCTGAAAGCACGTAAAAATACCACATTTAATAACATGTTTTTACTACAAACTCACTTCATAACGTCAGTCGAGTGTTTGAAATAAATCCTTCTGTGAGATGATGTGGCTTCTTACACGGAATAAGGCACGCAACATATTTCATAGTATTCTAAGCAGTGATAAAGGCATTGCATTATTATATACTTTATTATAAGGAAAATTATAATAAGAACTCAGATAAACCATATATTGTCATAGTCGTGTGTTTATTAGTCACGTTGAATCAATGAAAGCAGTTAAATCTTTTGTTTATCCAGCTACCGCTATAGGAATTTCCTGGGTTTCTTCTGCGGGTGTATTTGGAGTTT